GAGCACGCCAGGCTCTACTGGGTCCGGGCCATCATCACAGACAGGACTATTCTTGCGAATAAGCCTGATATTGTGCTGATGGACCGGGCATAGTCAATAATATTTTGGTCGACATGACCATTCCTTATGACGAGAACCTCGTGAAAGCCGAAACAGATAAGTTGACAAAATATCTGGACCTGGCTCACGAGGTGACTCACAAGTGGGGTGTTCTGCCGGCCGAAATTATTCCTGTGGTCGTTTCTGCGAACGCGTTAATTCCAGTCAGCCTCTCGGGTCAGCTGAGGTGACTGGGACTCCGTGACGGATCGCTCCAAGCTCAAATGCAGAAGGCGGTGCTCCTCAATACCGCCCGCATCGTCCGCCGGTTTCTTTCCCTTTCCCCCTAACCCTCGGCCGATTGGTCTCCCCTGCCGAGGGCTTCCATCTGGTTGGGTTTTTTATATATTTATGTAATTTTTATGTATTTATTTTATTTTATTGATATTTATGTAAGTTTATCATTTTCATTTTCAATTATATATTTATACAACCCAACCAGATGAGAAAACTATACAAATACCCCATAATAATAATAATAATTATCTGAAATACGGTCTCGTGGATCGGAAACTGCCGTAATATAAGTATTTGCCGGAAGACGTGCTCGAAAATGACAGCGCCAGACTCTGCTGGGACCGGGCTATCATCACAGATGGGACTATTCTTGCAAATAAGCCTGATATTGTGCTGATAGACCGGGCACAGTCAAGGATATTTTTGGTTGACATTACCATTCCTTATGATGAGAATCTTATGAAAGCCGAAACAGATAAGCTGATAAAATATCTGGACCTGTCTGACAAGGTGACCGACATGTGGGTTGGTCTGCCGACCACAATTATTCCTGTGGTCGTTTCTATGAACGGGTTAATACCAGTTAGCCTCTCGGGTCATCTGAGGCGACTAGGACACCGTGACGGACTGCTCCAAGCTCAAATGCAGAAGTCAGTGCTCCTCGATACTGCCCGCATCGTCCACCGTTTTCTTTCCCTTTCCCCCAACCCTCGGCCGTTTGGTCTCCGCTGCCTAGGGCTTCTATCTGGATGTTTTTTTTTTAAATTTATATATTTTTCAAGTATTTATTTTATTTTATTGATATTCATATATGTTTACCATGTTCGTTTAGAATAATATATTTATACTGCACAACCAGATGAGAAAACTTAATTACGTTAGCTGCAGCCGCAGGACTTAAAAAAAACCAATTCTTAAAATATAAATTTAATAAAAGAAAGATTACTGGTTTCCTCCGCGTATCGATTTTCGGATACTCGTCCCCGGTGCTGCTGCCACGTGGTTCGGATATTAGATTAAGGCTAGAGAGCCAAATCAGCGTCCTTCAGCGCCAGCCGAAATCTACCGATTTTTGGAGATTTTAACGCCGCGTACTGACTCTAATATCCTACCGACTGCGCCAATTACGTTAGCTGCAGCCGCAAGACTTAAAAAAAACCAATTCTTAAAATATAAATTTAATAAAAGAAAGATTACATTAATTCTATAACTAAATTAAAATGATTAGCTAGGTCGAAGTGTGACCGAAGAATGACGAAATCCGATGCTCACTTCCACGGGCGTCGGGTTGTCGGCGCCTGCTGACTCGGCGTCTCGTGACACGCGGCTCCGTCGTGTTCGTCTTTAAGTAGGTTTTACATACTTGGCGATTTTAGTGTAATAGAACTACGTAATTCCTCCCCCCACAGTTCAGCGACTATTTTCCAACTTTGAGGGAAAATGTTGCTGAATATGCTTTTGCGTTTTTAGGATCTTCATAGGAATGCTTTCCAGGTGCTAGCAGCTGGCTGCTCTGCTGTTGCGGCTTACTGCGTCTCCACAGATTGAAACGTCGACAGATTATTACAATGGCTGTTATGATAAGTGAGCCAATTATCATTACATAAACGGGAATAGTTGTGTGGTACAGAGTGTTGCTAGCTATGGTGTCTTGTACCATTATCGGCTCTCTCATGACTTGACTGTAGGCTTCATGTAGTTTTCTCAGGTCGATGGATTGCAGCGAGATTCTGTGTTGAGGTGTGGTTTCTTCTTTGAAGTTACGTGGGATATCGGTAATTATTAGTGGCTGTCCGGATACTTGGTTGTTCTCGTTAACTGTTGTAAATTCTGACGTCATCAATGTGCAATTTAAGGGTATGGTTACCAAATAACTTCCTTGAAGCTGCTTGTATTCTTCTCTTCCGCATCGTAGATGGATTGTTGTAGTGCGAGGGAATGTGACAACATAGTTCCCGGCGTCCAGTTGCTCCATGGCTTCCTTTTCCAATGTTATAGTGGTCAGGTTGCAGTCATCTCCTAGTGCGTGGTTTGTGACGAGGTCTCGTGTGCAGTCGTGATGATTCTTGACTCTGTTAATGGCATCGTCTTCGCAGAGGTACTGCTGGTCTACCTTCGGGCATTCAGCCTCCATATACGCATACGCTTCCCTATTGCTTGCTAGGAAAGGAAGGGGTGGAATAAGGATCTTGTTATACCTATTCGGGGCTATCGAAAGTTTATACAGATCGAATACGTTCGCACTAACTATGGGAACTTTAAAAACTATAACTATCTGCTTTTCGACGTAATATGAGCCAGGTTTTATGATACTATAATAGTCGCGTAAATCTAAATTTAATATTCTATCATCCCCATATATCATTCTTACCCTTTCTATCATTAACCTTAAAGTATCGATATCTATCATTGAATGATGCGTGCTTAGGGCATGCACAAGAGCTAGCATGTTTTCTATTCTAACTAATTCTCCCAACAAATCATTGACGTTTTCTGTTATGATGGTCAGAAGCTGAGCGAAATGAGCATATTTTATTAAACTATTTTCTTTATAAGCAGTGCTATTCAACAAAAGTTCTAACGTAGCATTAATTGATTGCTGATTTCTAACTAACTGGTCTATGACGCTGTTATGTTGCGTCATCCATTCCTTGTTGAGACTTATGTGCGAGTTAAATTCCGATATAATTTTAACTTGGTTATTTTCGAGATTTTTTATTGCATTATCAAATTTAATAGCATCCTGATAATCTAGATTTCCTGTTAAGCTTTTAATAGCAGATCCTAAGCCATCAATTAAACCTCTCTTGGCTCGACTAGGTTCGAGTCCTTTTAAATGATTTAAAACTCTATTGATTTTATGAGATAAATAGTTAATTTGAAGAGAATATAGGGAAAACGTATCATTATTTAATCTTAATTCAAAGTCAGATAACTGCTGTCTCACTGCAATAATTTTGTCTTCTATATTATTGATGCGAATATACTGTAATAAGCTATGGTAATGTGACACTAGACGAGTTCTACCTAATTTATAAGGAAGGAGGCCAGGACCATCGTTGAGACTTTCAAGTCTTATCTCCTGTGTTTGAGCAAGATGCACCATTATCACCAACGGAATTCTGTAACAATTTAGCGCTATTAGGGACACGCTTAATGCGAGCTTTGGCAACGGGACCACGTTTTCGTGAAGTATAAATATGTATAGGTAGGTTAGCTAGAACGATATCGTTAGTGTATCTAGGTGCTAATTTTTGTCGGCTAGCAAGCGCGTTTTTTATGAAAATTTGCTGCTGTGGTTCATACTGAATTTCGGGTTCTCTATCCTTATTTCTATTCTCAATTAAAACTGTGCGATCATGTAAGGCAGACTGATTTATAATTTCATAAACTAATTTCATTTGTTCTCTATGATTTTGAGTATACTGTTGAAGTAGATGCTGGGTAAGGTCTACACCTACCGGGTCTCTGGGGTCAAAGTGACCTGTTATTATATCGAAGGGCCTGCATTTCGTGAAACTGTGCACCGAACTATTGTAAGCGATAATCGCATATGGTACTAGGTTTACAGCTGGCTCTTCTTTACGCTGAAGTTTCAGTAATCGAAGATGTTCGAGCAGAGTTGAATGGAAACGTTCTACATTTCCATTGTCGTTTGGTGAATGGGGAAGTATTTTATGGTGGTTAATATCGTGCATTCTTAAAAATTCGGAAAATAGTTGGTTGGTGAATTCAGTGCCGTTATCAGTTACTATGGTTAAGGGTAAACCATGGTGCGTGCAATATTTTAGTAAGGCCCGTAAAACGCTGATGGCTGTACCGTCGTGTAAATGATAGGCTTGACCGTACTTGGAGAATACGTCGACGAACGTAACGTATTTTTCGCTATCTACTGTGCACAGGTCCATATGAACTATTTCTAGAGGCTTGGTTGGAGGCGGAACAACGTTAAATCTTGGTTGGATAGGATTACGGTCGTATTTACCTTGACCACACACAATACATTCATTAATGAATTTTGTTATTTGTTCTTTCATTTTTGGCCAGTAGTATTTTTTCGAAAGAGACAAATAACACTCATTAATGCCTCTATGGTTGGTCTTGCCCTCGTGATAGTGTTTAATTATTTCTTGTTGCCTAAGGTAAGGTTTAACGTTTTCAAGTTCGCTTTTGGCAAGTACGATGTTCATCGCGGAGCTTTTAAAGTTATTCTGTATGATAGGTATAATTGAATAAAGTCCTAACGGGGGGTTGATTAGAATTCCTGTTTTAATTTTTGGGTTCACGAACTCCTTTATTACGTTTATAATATCGGTTTCTAAATTTGATTCCGTTACTTGCACCGAAATAAGAGTATGTGTGTCGAAGGGCTTTGAAACCGCGGGACGCTTTTTTACGTCACCTACGATAGTGATAACCAATTGGCGATGAAATTTGTTTAGTGGTTCATCGGTTATTGGAACTTCCAATATGGGATTTTCGTGACTCGTATGAATGGTAGCGGTTGTAGAACCATGACTGCGTTCTGGATGTTCTGAGGGATTCGCTAGAAGAGAATTAGTATCTTCGTTATGGATCTCAATGCGACTGAGTGCATCTGCGTTCGTATTTGATTTCCCTTTCTTGTAGACTACAGTGAAGTCGTATTCGCTAAGCTTTAAGCGCTATCGAGTAAGGCGAGAGTTCGGTTCCTTTAAACTCATAATCCACTGTAAAGGTTTGTGGTCGGTAAGTATTTTAAATGTCCTGCCGAATAGGTATGGTCTAAAATATTTAGTGGCCCATACTATTGCCAGGAGCTCTTTCTCGATGGTGCTGTAATTTTGTTCACTATCATTAAGTGTTCGCGAAGCATATGAGATGGGTTTATCCGAGCCTATTGGCCCTTGAGACAAAACAGCACCGATGGCAAAGTTTGACGCATCGGTAGTAAGGATAAACTCCTTACTAAAGTCCGGGTATTTAAGGATTGGATCGTTCGTCAAAAGAGTTTTACATTTCTCAAAACTGTTTACATAATCGGGGTCAAAAGTGATTTTTTTACCTTTTTTTAGACATTGTGTCAATGGTTTTGTTATTTTTGCAAAATCTGGGATGAATTTACGGTAATATCCTAATAGTCCTAAGAACTGCTTTATCTCCTTAGGAGATTTAGGTATGGGATATTTTTGTATCGCTGCTATTTTGTCTGGATTAGGCTTCACGCCTTCGCTACTGATGATATGGCCTAAATAAGCAGTTTCTAGCTTAAGGAACTCTGATTTGTCCATTTGCACTTTGAAATTAGAGTTCCTAAGTCTCTGGAAAACTTGTTCTAAGTTGACCATGTGTTCCTGCAGCGAGGTGCTGAATACTATTATATCGTCCAGGTACACCAAACAGATCTGGTTCTGGAGACCTCGGAGGATGTTATCCATCACTCTTTGGAATGTGGAAGGCGAGTTCTTCAGGCCCATGGGCATCCGAAGGAATTCGAAGTGGCCGTGTTCGACATTGAATGCCGTCTTTGGAATGTCAGCGGGGTCCATTTCTACTTGGTGAAAACCACTGGCGAGATCCAGGGTAGTAAAATATTGGCATTTGCCCAGTTTGTCCAGAACATCTGAGATATTCGGTATAGGGTATTTGTCATTTATGGTTTTTTCATTAAGTTTACGAAAATCTACCACTAGACGCCATTTCTTTTTCCCCGAGGCGTCCGCCTTTTTTGGGACAATCCAAATCGGTGAGGACCATGCGGACTCGGAGGGACATATAATGCCTTGAGATAACATTTTATTTATTTGATCGTGTACCTCTTGTCGATGAACAAAAGGATATCGATAGCTCTTTGTGTATATCGGAATTTCATCGGTCGTACGGATGCGGTGTTTTATTTGATTCGTGAATGTTAAGTTTTCACCTTCGATATAAAATATGTCATGATATTTGGCACAAAGAGTCATCAAATTAGCCTTTTCTTCTTCGTTAAGGTGGTCAGTGCGGAGTCGCGATAAAACGTCTTTAGCTCGTTCGGTTATAGGCTAGGTGCGCGTGCACTCAACGTTAAACAACTGTGCGTGAGCGGGGCGGTCCAGAGAAAAAACGATATCGTTATCGCTAGTATTCTCGATCTCTAAAATACCTCTATTTTGGGAAACGCTGGTAATGCATTCGTGAATGACACAGGAACGTGAGTCAACAGGAATTCTAACTAACTTTGAAGTATTCGCAGGAATTATATCCTCGTACAGGTTCACGTTTCGTGAGTTATATAACAATATTGGGTTCACTGCAAACCGAGTAGTTAAGTGTAATGCTTTTAAATCGATCTTTGCTTCCCACTTAGTTAACAGATCGAGCCCAATTAACTCGTCGAAATGGTTATGAAATTTATACACGAAAAATTTTATCGGTTCGCTATCGTTAATTTCCGGAAAACAGGGCACCGTAATGGAATAATCATTTCGACTATCAGCGTGAACATTAGTGACTTCGAATGGATCATAGTCAAGTTGATAATGAGGGAAAAATCTTTCTACAGCATCCGGGCTCAAAAATGATTGATTCGCTCGGGTATCGATGAGAAGCTTCAACGGAGGGTCTAAGATCTGAATAAATGGTAGCTGACGCTGGGTTTGCAAATTGACTTCTATCTTGGCTTGTTTGAAGGGGAATCCTCGTGAAAATTTTCCTGTTGGCTAGTGGAAGGCTGAGGATCGTTTTCTGTATCATTGACGCTTGGATAATCGTTTACCGGAATAAACTCGGGACCGTAACTCTCGGGGCTTGCATAATCATTATATATGTAGCCACTCACGTAAGATGGACATTCGTAGTAATCCGCATAATAGTTGTTGTAGTCAGGCTCATAGTAATAATTATCATAGCCGTCGCACTCGTTAAGATTCATTTCACGGCTTTTAAAATAATTCGTAGGTGGTGGGTTACCGTGCTTATTCCAATCATGACCAGTTAATCGTCCCGTAGGAGGTAAGGCTTTAGGCGTGAAATGTTGAACACCGCTCATAGGCTTAGGGCCAAGATTCTGAGGCTGCTGATAACGAGGCTGAATACGGAACACGTTACTACGTGGGTTATAATGTGGTGGTGGTGCACTGAACATTTGTTGAGTGCACCACCACCACATTATAACCCATGTTGGCATGCGGTACTGAGACTGATGTTGAGGGCCCACATTAATCTTAAATTGATTTTGCGGTTGAGTAAATTTAAATGGTTGAGGTTGAGGTGGCATCCACATCGGTCTCTGAGTAGCGGGTGCTAACATCATAGGTGGAGGCTGGAAATTTTGCTTAGATTGAGAAGGCATTGGCATTGGTATTTGTGCTCTTGGAGGCGGCTGGAGAGTCTTAGGATGTACATCATTATTACGCTGTTGCAAATATAAAATATTTAATTCCTCCTGAACAAAGGACAATGCTCTGCGTCCATACATTGTTCGCCCTGGAACCAAGAGCTTCGGAAAATTATGTATTTTATTGTTGATCATTAGTAAATTCCTATTTGATCTTATTTTTATAGCGGACTAGCTGCATAATAGATATATTTCAAAAAAAGTATCAGATTTTGAGGTTATAATCGAACCATGAATATTACGGTTTTTCATAGATCTGAGTGATTTTTAACAAACTGAAAAACGATGTCCTAAAACATTTAGCTATTTCTAGTACCTATCTACATAATTAGGTATGCAATTTTTATTCTAAAGCCTAAGTCTATGTAAGTGCAACGTATAAATGCATAGAAGGTAGTTAACAAACCTGCTTTCTGAGCATTAGATTTGAAATGAGAGATAATGTTTGTGTGTATTAATGTAAAAATAAAAATATATGTATATAATGGCTGTTGTCATTAGCATATACGGTACGGTAAGATACCTAGTACCTAAATGTATAAGGATTTAGGCTGTCAGTCACGCCGCTAGACATGCCGTCGAACAGCGAGCGTATCAACCACGGTTTCAACCAAGTTTCAACAGCGCGCGCATGAACAGCGTGAATATTATAGACTACTATCTAGCACATTTGCAAGCGTGTGCGTCAGGACGGCGCTGTTTAAACGCGTGACTATGAAACCAGACCTACCGACTTAGTACCTAATTGGTAGTATAAGTTGTTTTTACACGTACATTAACTTATTAATTTTACACGTACATTAACTTATAATAACTAGTAATTTGTTTTTAATTCAGTGTTTAATAAGTATGACAATTTAAATAGTTAAATACTCACAATTCACCTCCCATCATAACCTCAATTCGTGACAACGTTCATTTGTTTACATAGTAAATAACTATCGTGGTATAAGTTCATGAATAATGGCAAATGTTATGGATGTTGAGAATATGCAGAGAGAGTTGGAAGTTTGTTGGAGTCAGAAAATGGCCGAATTTGAGAAACGCTTGAAGGATGCATCCACTCCAATAACCCCAACACTGGCACAGCTACAGGAAGAATTTTACTCCTTTAAGGAACTTGTTATCAAAATACTAAATCTTTTACGGCAGCAGGTCCATGAGTGCATGAAGAATGTTGATACTATTAACATGTGGCATCGTCGAAAGGCTATTGTTTTTAATGGCATCCCTGAGGCATCTGTGACTAATATAACAGATGAAATACTACAATTGTTGCACAGTAAGTTAGGTTTAACGCATATAAGTGCCATTAGTTTGGACAGCTGCTATAGACTTGGTGTGCAGCAAAGTAACCACATTAGGCCTGTTATAGTATATTTTCGTGATCACCATACAAAACGTGAAGTGTGGAAAGTTAAATCAAAATTGAAAGGCTCGCTAATCTCTGTTTCCGAGTTCCTAACTAAAACCAGGCAATCAATACATAAAAGAGGTCGAAAACATTTTGGAATAAAGAATGTGTGGACTTTGGATGGTGTTATTTATGTTAAACATCCTGATGGTTATGATAAGATCATTGCAATGGAGCAGTTAGATGCTTTGATAGCAAAATATCCCACAACAAGCACTCCAACCAGGTCAGACACTGCTTTTAATACCTCGGATATTACAAATAAGTTGATGTCAACACAAGGTTCATCTAGCACTAAACGTGTTCAAGAAACAATCCGTCGTACTACTACAGCAGTGACCAATAGTGATGATTCCAAGAGATCTCGGCGGCCTGTAGTCAAAAAATAGAATTCATGCATCTGTTCCACTACGCTAAAGTGATTGGTGATGTAATCTTTACTTTGCAAATTTTGAACATATTACTGCATTCAATGTAATTTATAATATAGTCATATTTAGTCTTATAACTACTGCTTGTTGTGCTTCAACTTTTATGTAATATTATTTTGTTTCGTTGTTAAAATTCCTTTGAGAGGCACTGTAATTTTAATATTTGTTATTTTATCTGTGTGTTTATGATGCAATCCTGATAAGTATGAAGTGTTTTGGTAATGTTCTGATTATCAGATATATTAGTTAGGTTAGGTTAGGTTACTACTTAAATTTACTTTTTTATTTACTATGATATGATACTGCTCTTGAAATTATCGTTATTGTTTTCTAATACTATAAATACTATTTCAGATGAAATAATTCACTACGTTTATAGTATTCATTGATATAAAGTTGTTAATTTTTAGTAGTTTTTGCAACTTTGCATATATGAAACTCATGCTTTTGTTTTTCTATGTCAATGTAATTGGTGATGCAATCTTCACTTAGCAAATTTTGAACATATTGCATTCCATGTAATTTTTAATATAGTCATATTTAATGTTATTACTCCTACTTAATGTGCTTCAATTTTTATGTAAAAAATTTTGTTTAATTGTTGACGTTCCTTTGAGTAATTTTAATATTAGTTATTTTATCAGTGTGTTTATTGCGTATTCCTGATAAGTATGACGAGATTCGGTAATGTTATGATTATCTGGGTTCTTTAATTATTTAAATCTACTTTTTTGTGACCCTGCTCTTTGAATAATCGCTATTGTTTTATAATACTATAAATACTATTTCAGATAAGATAATACACAACGTTAATAGTATTACTGAAACTATGCTTATAATTTGTTTACTTTAGGTTAAAAAGAAGTTAAAATAGATAAATAAATATGTAGCATTTGGAGATTAATCTATCATTGTCATCTTCCGTCATTACTGTTATTATACTTTTAGTTTATACAAAGTTACAAAGGTACTCTGTGATTATACATAGAGACATTATATGCCATAGACATTATATCCCCGTAGAGTTTTTAAACTCTTTGATGGTAAGCCACAGAAGGCACAGATGTCAAAAAGATACGGCCTATTAATGTATATGACAAATATGAACAAATTGCATAAGTTAACATCGCTGTCATTTGCATGCAACATTTTATGTTTTACTTATTTAGTGAATAGTTATTATTGTATCTTAGTTTTTTTTTTCTTTTGTTTCACATCAAAGCATCACCAGCGTGTTTTGGCGGTTTTCATTTGTAGTATTAATAATTATATAACATATTGGTGAAGTAGTATAGCCCAATATGAGTATGTAACTACTTAATAATTTAAGCATATTCGTTATTGTATAATCCTGTGTAATCATTATGTTATCATTAAGATGTTTAATTTTTCATGTTGTGTAAACAGTCAGCTGGTGGGATGGTATTTTGTGAGATTCCTAAATAATTTAAAATTTTTAGCTAATAGAATTATAGCAATCTTCTTTTAAATTGTATGTATATATAATTATATATATTTATAATATTATTTGTAAATTTATTACATATAATAATGTCTGATACCGATTCATTT